ATGAGTCACGACTAAACCCTCTTTGAAAATGGCTATCCAGATCCACCCCAATGGGATATAAAAGAACTTATCAATTACTAGATCACACCTAAAGTGCTTCTATCACTTTTCACTTTAGTCTTTTTGGTAATTTGATAATGTCTTGCATTCCTGCAAATCACAGTATTGAACAGAACAAGAGTTACATGCAAATTTTTGTTTTAAAAAAAGGACCTTGGTAACCACATCTTTTAGAAAAAATAACAAGCGGTCTTGTAGCACCTTGAAGAACAGCAAGTTCAGTTTGGCACACGTTTTGTAGACCATAGTCCCCTTCTATAATCTATTGGCAGATAAAATGCGTTAGACTTTAAAGTGCCACAAGATCACTTACTGGATTTCCTGCAACAGATCAGTACAGCTGCCTCTCTGGACAGACTTCTTAGGAAATAATAACTTTGGGTGCATATGCTCAGCAGGAACATTTAGGCTTCCTCCCATGTATCAAAGTTCTCAGTGCCTTCTCCAAGCATCTCCAGGCATTCTCTTCCATGTTATAGATACATATTTGCACTTTAGAGAATGCGAAGTAAGTTTAGCAGCAGTTTTCCTTGCATGGAATCCATGTAAGGGGGTAAAGCTGGGCAATGAGTCTCTGGCTCTGGGGAAGGAGCTAAGGGGAGTTGAATGTTTTTAATAAGGCTACCTTGTTAGTAAGAATGTTGCCATCACAAGGTACAAGGTACAAGATGGGGAAGTAATGACACTAAGGGCAGAGTTCTCAGGGAGCAGGAAGAGAGATGGCCTTATTTGTAACTTAGCTGAGATCCATGATCAAACAAAAGCAAGAATCACCTACAAAGCATGGACACCTGTGCTAAACTCTTCTATTCTTTGCTAGAGTCCATGCTGGCAGATTATTCCTTTCCTGACTGAAGCAAAAACAGTGTTTTGGAGTTGACTGTCCCCACACCTGTCTGCAGTATATCATCCCTAAACTTTCTATTTGAGGGCTACTACGTCCTCAGAATAGATGATGCGGTATAGTTTCCCTATGCAGATCATAGCATTTCTCCATTCACAGGAATGGGGAAATCACTTCCACTTCCCATCTTTCAAAACAAATGCACAAATGCCATCATGGATGCTGAAATGGATGAGGTTACCAAAAGGACACACAGTGGAGAGGGGGGGGGCAATCTATAAGACTATATTCAGGCATGGATGAGATCATGGAGGGGCAGTAAAAATATCTAACTGAGGCTTGCTTCTGTGTTTCTTGGTATTTCAGGATAAGTGCTACTATGAGCTAAAGTAGAAATGGCAGATGTTCTAAAGAAATGTAGAATATGTGACAATAATACCAGAACTTAAAAATGCTCATGATATTATATGCATGGGATTAGAGATTATGATGCTAGGATGTGCCTGGCTCTGGGTTTTACATGTTTGCACCAAGCCCCCAAAACTGGCACATGGAAAAAAGATGCTAGAGCCATGCCTTCCTGGCCAGCTCCTGGATGTCTCTGAAGCATCTGGTTGGTGTCTGTGAGAATCAGAGCATTGGATATGATGATGATAATGAATCTTTCTTCTTCAATAGCAGGGCTTCTCCATTTACTATCCACATAGGACAAAAGTATCTCCCTTTTCTAGCAACACCTTCCACATGCGCACTAGAGATCAACAAGACAACTATCATATAGGCAGGTTTCGCCCGCCCACCCATTTTCCTACTATGATCTCAAGCATTCAGGTTCAAGTTTGGGTTCAAGTTTGAGTCCCTGTTGCCCAGTTTTATCCTCACACCAACCCTGTGAGAGAGGTTATGCTGAGAGGTAGTGACTGGCCTAAGGGCCCCTTGGCTGAACTTCATGGCTGAGGAAGGATTTTAACAGTTCTCAGTCCTAATAAGAGCCAGTGTGGTATAGTGGATGCAATGCTGGATTAGGACTCAAAAGGTGAAATCCCTGTTTGGCCATGGAAATTGACTAATGCTGGATTAGGACTCAAAAGACCTAAGTTGAAATCCCTGTTTGGCCATGGAAATTGACTGCAGTATGGCAATGAACATCTTACCTATGCCAAAGTCCATACAGTACTAGGATTGCTATAAGTCAGCAGCTGCTTGGCAGCACTACCTCACTTCTAGTCCAGTACTCTCACCATTGGAACACACTGACTCTTCATATGCCTAAAATGAGGGGTGGTCTAAGCTCTCCCTGCCACTTCAGGCAGGAAACAGAGTACTGCCTTTATTCACCTCACTGTCTCAATGTTGCCCATCTGTGGAGAGGAAGGCAGCCAGAGGAGACAGTGCCTCCACACATTTTCCTGCACCCTGATGCTGGAGAAGGAAGTATGAAGGCATGTGATCCTGTGAAATTGCCCGAAACCAAGGCACAGCCAATTTTTCTGGACATCCCTCCTGATCCAAGGGGATACCTAGAATCTTGGAAGGGGAAAAATAATTTGAAACTTCAGGGGGGGGGAGAAAAGAAAAAAGCCAACTCCTACAAAATATGGTTGCTATGCTGTGCCAAGCCTCCTGTCTCTTCCTTCTACAAGCACCATGCAGGTGAGTGTGTAAGGGCACCATCACCACCAATGGAAGGGGGCTGGATGCCTCCCAGTCCAGAACTGTGTGATGTGACAGAGCAGCTCTCAAAAGCAGGATTCGCCTGGATAGTAACAGTAATAAGACAAGAGTTCTGCATTTTTTACCTGTAGCAGTCTGCTGCCTACGGCAAACACCTCAGTAGCAGCTTTGGGGGACTTAATTGCTCTTGTTTCATGTCATCAAGTTGCCTCCAAGTGATGAATAAGGGATCGCTAAAAAATGTCCTGTCCACAACAACCCTGCTCAGCTCTTTTAAACTCAAGGCTGTGGGTTCCTGTAGGGACTCAGTCCATCTCATATTCGGTCTTCCTCTTTTCCCAATGCCTTCCACCTTTCCCAGCATTATTGTCTTTTCCAGAGAATCCTGTCTTCTTGTGATATGCTCAAAGTAGGACAGACCCAGTTTCAACATTTTTGCCTCCAGAGATAGTTAAGGTTTGCTTTGATCTAGGACCCATGTGTCTGCCTCTTTGGCAAACCAGGGTATCCGCAAAGCTCTTCTCAAGCACTGCATTTCTAACAAATTAATATTTTTTCCTGTCAGCTTCCTTGACTGTCCAGCTTTCACATCCATACTTAGTGATCAGAATACAGCAGTGTGGATGATCTTGGCTGTAGTCTCCAGTGATGTATCCTTGCACTTCATGATCTTTTCTAATTCCTTCATTGCTTTCCTTCTGAGTCTTACTCTTCTAGTTTACATGATTATTTTTGACATCCACATGCTATTTTCAAACGGAAGTGAAATACATGTTCCAGCTATTATCTGTAATCAAAATAAGCTGTCTGCTTTCTGTTACTGTTGTGACGCACATACTAATTCACCTCCAAGAAGCAGACCTGGCACAACCACCCGCCATGAATTTTTTGGGACTCTTACAGTATTTATAATTGTCTATACTATCCACAGATTATGAGTGCATGGCCTGAAGAAGTGGACTTGACCCATAAAAGCGGATTGATAGTTTTATTGTTTTTAGTGACCTAATAAAGGTATCGCCTACTCCTGCACAAATACTTAAAGATATTCTTGATAGGCAGCAGTTCCATCATTATCTTATCTAAACTAGAGATGTTCCTTAATATTTACTTCATGTCTTTTTCACCACCATATAATAACTAGTGGGATTCAATGAGTACCACTATTCCCATTAAAAAGGCTGAACTGAATTGTCTGTATTCACAGGTAAAGCATCTAAAGGATTAGAACTTCAGAGACTTAGATCAACTAACTGAGCTTGCAGAAAGGCAAAGAAGGCAGCACTTTCCTTCCATCAAACCAACTCTGCTATACATGGTGTAGCTATTCACACAATTTTCTGTATCCCTGCTCAAAAGCAAATTGCCTTTCATTCAGTTGGGATTATTCTCAGAGAAATCAATGTTGCCTTCCAAGCCACTTGTGACAATGGATGTGATGAAGTGGTGATTTCTAAAGCTTCATCAATATAGCAGACACTTTTCCACTGCTGGAGGCATCCAGTTTGAGTTACAAAGCCCCATCATCCCCAGTTGCCATCCTGCTGTTCTGACCAGGCACAATAAGAGTTATAGTTTTATACCTTGGGATCCATGAAGGCATATGCTAGGTAAAACTTGTTAGATAAAAGACACTTTGTCATTTTCTAGCAACTGGCTAACATGGCTACCTCTCCTGGAAATTCTCTATGTAGATGGTTCTAAGTTGGGGGAGGCAGCTGTGCAGAGTAACATTAGGAAAAACAATGACAAAGTTTTGTGGCAGGAAAAATTAAAGTAATAAAATAAAATATATAATTAAAACCCAAGTAGAAACAATATTTTTTCAAAGATCAGCATCCACTTTATCAAATGCATGAAGCATGATTGTAAATTGGCAAACTTATATCTATATGGTTGGTGTGGAAAGATTAGAAAAATGCAAGATCAAAAGAGAATAAAATGAGAAATATATACAAACAAATAAAAACGTACACCCCCTCCCCCCAAAAAAACAAAGACCAAGACAATCATATAAAGGATAAGACAAGCTACATTTTAGTCCAAGAAAATGTACTACACTAGAAAAATCAATTAAACAATAGCTTCCAAAACTACTTATTATTTAACAAACAACAACACCCAGAACACCACTGTTTATCTAACATCTTCAGGACTTACGAAAATTACATTGCTATTTTCTATGGAAACCTGTTGTTTTCTCTCAAATGCTGGTACTGAAATGCATTTCAGAAGTGATTGCCTAGGGATCCCTGCTGAAATAAATCGGTATTCATCAATGGATGGGGTGGGGAAAACCAGCTGCTAACTCAAAGACAATCGGCTTTCAAAATCAAACCTAACCAGTGGGCTTTGTTTGCTTGCCAAGTTGCTGGGGAGGGAGGGAAGGTGGATTAGAGCAAGAAAGCCCTCTGTTACCTACCTTGAAGGAATAATAAAAGGATTCCCATTCCTCTTCCTCCAGCACTACCGTAAAAGTCCCAGTTTCTGTGCAAGTAACCCAAGTAGAATCCAGAGTCTTGGTGCTTCCATTCAATGCGCGGCTCGTGCTGCTGGCTGTTGTAACGCTGCTTTGCATGGCTTTCTCGCTCCCTTCTGAACTGCTCTGAGGCTTCTTATGACAAAGAGTGAATGTAGCCACGTGCACCTTAAGAGGAGCACAGCAATAGCACAAGTAGCTTCACTGCTCCACCGCTGGCTAGAGAGCATTCAGTCTTCAAAGCCTCCAAGCAAAAACTATCCAGGCTGGAAATTTCCCCCTCCATGAAAGTTCCCCCTCCCAGATCTAGTTTTTGCCAACAGAAGCAGCTGTCCAGATGTTTTTCTTTAGCATCTGCAGTTGATAAGACACCTTGAGTCAGCACTGTTGATAAGAGACCTTGAGTCAACATGGTACCAGCACTGTGGCATGGTACCACCTATGCTCAAGGTGTCCGCTTGTTTGAATCCGAAACTCCAACAAGATCTTAACTTGTTGTTGTTTTCTGACACCTTCTCTACCTGATGTTCCTATGGATTCTTGGTCTGTGGCAGATTATATTTTTTTACATAGTGATCAGTGTATTAATTTTGCAACTTTATCTTGTCTAGTTCTGTAGTCTATCTGCACAATTTTTTGAACATTCACAGATGAGGTGTGATACAGTTGCATCTTTTTCTTGGCATAGTCGACATTTGCTGTTTACACCAATTCCTTGAATTTTAACGTCCATGGTATTCGTTTAGAGAGTGCTTCTTCTTGTGTAGCAAATATCAAGCCTTTGATTTCTTTCCCAATGGTCCTTAGCTTTAGACATGCAAAAGCTGTTATTCTTACGCTTTCCCATCATTTTTTTCCGATTAACGTCCATGCCGTAGTTTATTTTTCCAGCTATTTATCTTCAAAATGTTGCTTCATATTTTCAACTTTCGTTTCTATTATTTTCAAGATGTTTTCCATTTTCACGCATTTAAGTAATTTTTCTCTACTCCTATTAATAAATACATTTAAGTTTCTTTTTTTCTTCTTCTACTATTACCTGTTTGTTGTATTTGTAGTAACCTCAACCTCCACATAAATATAATCTGTCAACATCACTTTTTGGATGTTGTGCTACAGGAAAAACAAAATAAAAATCAAAGTACTGTACAAATAAAAAAAGAAAAATGTTGTGGAACCTTAAAGACTGTTTTAAGAAACAATTGAAAACACTGATGTATAGGCAGGCTTTCCCAACAGATAATCCCTGACGATTTTTCTTTTATATTCTTTGATTTCTATTTCTGTCTATTTGTAATGTTTTTAATAATTTTATTGTTGCTCCGATTGTAAGCC